GATACAGGGCTTTAGAATATCGATACAGTATCGGAAAATGAAATATCGCGATATTTCAGTGTATCGATATTTTCTTACACCCCTACTGGTTTGTGGGCTGTTTAACTCCAACTCACCTGCTCCAGGAAGAGGCCAGAACCCTCTCTGTACTTGTCCAGAACACTCCTCGGTTCAGGCTGCATGTATTCAAACTGAGGCTCATACGTATAGTTGGACTGGAAGAAGGCCTGCTTCTCCTGCTCCAAGTTCAGAGGTCTGAGGGCAACTAGCAGACAGGGCCGGATGGGAGTGGGAAGAGACGGATTACCTGATCCTTTAGSTATGTGGGGCAGGGAGGTGGCAGGTCTCATCTGGCCCCGGCCAGCTCGCAGCCCCAAAGGGTAGTTAACGGAACAGGTGCTTTCGCTGCGCCGCATCCAGCTGCCCCCTCCAAGGCTGGGGCTGGTCAGGCTGCGAGCCCTGGGGGAGGAGGCTGCCCAGCCACTGCGCCAAGGAGGCTGCAGGATCCTCCCGTCCGTCACGTGGTCCTGAGAACCTCTCAGGCGCTGTGGGGTCACCTCCATGCTGAGGGGACGGCGTAGAGGTGGTCTCCTCTCTGCCCCCTGGCAGCTGCTTGTCGGGCCCGGTACCCCATTATGGGACACCCTTTCCTTCCTGGGGGCATGACTCCTTCTAGCTGCTGCGTTTTTAGCAGAGCTGCTGGGGGGTTTGGGCGGATCCACTGGGATGTCTGGCTCCAACGGGYCCCTGACACTTTCATCCTCGACCTGATCCATGAAGACTTCGCCCGAATCCAACACCATCACCACAGTCACTGCACCTCGAACTGCACACARAACAGAAAGATCGATGCACTCCTGATGTTTTAATGCTGTAATGTTCTGTTGATTTCTACAGAAGTCAGGTTTCTGTGGAAAGGTTTGCAACAATTAATATCTGTTGTAGACATTTTTAAAATACCCTCAGTTTGAATTCTGACACAGGATTTACAAGCCAGAGGCTAGTCTAAGACCAGAGGGAATTGCTGATGCCCAAAAACTTTAGGTTACTTACGTAACCCCGGTTCTCAGAGTAGCATAGGTGAGATGTCTCACTATGGGACACCCCGCCCCCCGCACACACACACACACACACACACACACACACACACATATTCCTCAGAAGCATTTATCTCATTACACCAATCCCAATTGGCTGGTGATCGCGATGCATGTGTCACCTACCCTTTCAGTAGCTCGTGCCACGACATGGCATTATTTGAAACAAGCACCTCTTCTTGCTTCGCCCCAGGAAGAAGGGCTGTCTAGTGAGTCATCTCACTAGGGATGGGAAATCGTCCCTATTTTCAGATCATAAATCATGGTCACTGGCTATCACCAATAGATGATCCAATCGGCTGATAAGGCATGCGTAGTTACGTTGTTAAAAAAAAACAAGCAGGAACGCTTATTAAAGCAACAGCTTCTTTTTCTCTAAAGTCACTTGTAAATTCTGTGGTTATTCGGCGTTCGTGTTCGCACGTACCTTTCATAGTTCCTGAGACCCCTGCGCCAAGCTCCTAGGAACCCCCACCCCCCTGCTGCTGCATACATCACTATGGGGGGATTTCTACCCGGAGGGAATCCAATACGAAAAAAAAAGTCAGACACTCGTCACTCGACGTTAATCCACAAACTGGTCCAGGATTAAGCTCAAAAGTTTTTATCAAGTCAGATTTCATCGTGAAAATAGTCTATTTTATCCCCTTTTATGAGGTTTTTGGCCGTTTGACTTATACAAATGGCTGCTTCCACRCAGTGAGTGTGATAATGTGCGGACCGTCCGCAGTGGCTTCAGCTGTTGTGTTGAAAATACTAATAAAATAAAATAAAAAAGCCATTGTTGTCTTACCGTTCGGACTTAAGTTTTATTTATTTATTTATTTATTCATTCATTCAATCATTCATTATCACTGTGCTGTTTAGCTAAGTGCTTGTGTAACCGTGCGACCAGTTTGTTGAAAACCTCTCGTGATCTGCTCAGCTTCATCTCCTTCACCTCTCTCCAGGAAGTTCTACCTTTCCCAAAAAGGCAGTTTTATTTCACCATGTTGTCGTTTTGCGCCGCGCGCTCGAATTAAACAAAAGCAGCTCTCTCCAGGAGGAAATTTGCTGTCAGTCAATCCAAGGGAGTTAATCCATAGGCAGAAATCTGCTGATGTTAAAATCATAATCGTGCTGTACTGGCTTCTATCCGAAACACCGGAGAGGAGGTTCTGAAACAGCACAGCTGTGGAGGGAGCTTGGAGAGGCGCACTGGCCCGACACCAAGCCAAGTCGAACCGCGT